ATCTGTTTGCATCTGTTTTATGAATTCCATTTGTTTCCTATGTTGGGATTCCATCATGTTCCTCAGATCCTCTATTTTTTAATCTATATCCTCTCTAGATTTATTAATCATGTCTTGCACCATGAGCACAATCTTTACTGTTATCTGAGTAGTTATTTCTGATTTTATTTTTCCCAGATCCTCTTTTGTTGCCAGTTCAGAGAGTCCAGGTGGTTGAGTATCAGATTGTTCCATCTCGTTTCCCTTTGGGGTTGCTGTAGGTGATCCAGAAGTCTGTTTTTGAGGCTTGTTTATGTGTCTTCTCTTTTCCACGGTGTGGGGCGGTGCTTCCGGCGCCTGCGTGGCTCACTTTCTCTGCCCTAGGAGCGTGGGATGGTGGTGGGGGAGCTTCCTTCCGGGTCCCCAGCTTAATTCTTTGTAGTGTCAGTATACGTACTTGGTTTTTTTTTGGCCAAGATTTCTAGTTCCCTGAATCCCTCTCTTCCAATAACCATGTCCTGCCACACCCTCAAAACCCCTCACTCAAATGTGCTGTCTTGGATGGTAGCCACTAGCACCCATGACTATTGAAATTTAAATGAATTTCAATTCAGAATAGGTAAAAGTTTGGTTTTAGTTGCACTAGCTGCATTTCCGAAGCCAGTGACAGCATTTTGGTAGCACAGACAGGGAACATTTCCATCAGCACAGACACCTCTGTTGGGAACTTTCTAGCACTGTCCTGGGCTTTGTCTTCATCTTGCCTGTCCCCCACCTCTTCACTTTGTCACTCACTCCCATCTGGTACCTAGCTCTGCCTGTCCTCGGCCCCTGCCAGAACCTGCATACAGCTTGCTGAGCCCACTCCTTTCCCCGTCCCTCACCCTGTCCACCCTGTAGGCCTATCTGGCCCATCACACAGTGCACCCATGACTGAGATGACAAATTATGCAGAGTTTATTCACAAGACAGCCAAGATGGAAAAGGTCTCAAATTGCCTCCCTGAGGGCAGGGTTTAGGTATCTTAGTCACTTTCTCATTGCTGGAACAAAATACCTGACACCCACACCTTAAAGGAGGTGAGGTTTATTTTGGCTCATGGTTGCAAGTGATTCAGTCCATAGACTGCTTGCTCCAGAGCAGGGCAGCTTGGCAGAGGGGCCTGGAGAAGGACTCTGCTCACGTCATGGTGGACAGGAAGCAGGGAGTGAAGGGAGGAGCCAGTGAGGGAGATGTAGCCCTCCAGGCCACGCCGTTGTGACTACCTCTTCTGACTACGCCCCACCTCCTCTGTCTACACCTGCTCCTGTCTTCCAAGCTCACGTTTCCTGTATGAATTTCATGCTCCTGACTGACTCACACATTTTCATCCCTGCTTCACTCCTCGCCTGAATTCCAGACACCGATGGCCGACAGCTGCCTGACCTGCCTGTGGGGTGGCTGATACATTGCCAAACATGTCCAAGATGGGAGCTGTTCCCACCGTGGGGACAGCTTTCTTTCTGGAGTTGCTCAAGTCACTCCTCACCTTCTCGGCCACTCCAGCTGAAAGGCTTTGGCTCTACCTGGAAACTGGGCCCAGAGGCTCAGGCTGTGCCCTCTCTATTGGCCCTGCTGTGGTCCAAGCCTCCTTGGTGCTCTGCATCCTCTGCGTCCCTTGAGCTGGCTCCTTACTGTCCTCAGACACACAGGGACAGTCCCTGCTGAGGACCCTGGCCCCTGTGGCTCGAGGCCCTTCCCCGGACACCCGCATGTCTATTGTCTTACTCCTTCGAGTCTTTTCATCTCAGATGTTATTCTCAGTGAGGCCTACTTTGGCCCACTTTTATAACACTTCAGTTTCTCCGAGCTTGCTCTGTTTTACCCCATGAAACTTATATTCTTATATTAGCCTATGGAATTTACTGATATTTACTTTAATTTTTCTGTCTCCTGCTGGTCACAGGGGCAGGGATTATTTTGGGGGGATATTTTGCCCTTGGATTCATCTTCAGACTCCAGTACCCTGAAGAGGTGTGCTGTGATTCTCTGTATGATTGAGTGTGTCCTGTGTCAGAGTCCTTATGTCTTCTTCACAGACATCCTGTGCAATACTGGTTAAATTAATACCCAGATACTCAGAGCTTTAGCCTTTTTTCCTGGTGTCTAGTTTGTGGTGATCAGTTCTAGAGGCAATGTTATTGCATCTTTGTAGGTCAAGCTCATGTCTGGTGATTTTTCTGAAACCAGTCCCAGCCCAAGGATTTATCCCTTGATTCTGTTTGTTTTTCTTCGCAGGTACATAAATGACAGTTATCTCTTCCTCCCAATTCCTACACCTCCTGTTGTGTTTTCTTCCTTATAGATGGGCCAGACATTGTAATTATGGACATCCTTCTATTGTTCCTGGTTTCAAAATATTTCTAGTATCTCTCCACTAATGTTGATTCTAAGATTTTGGTAGAAAAGCTTTATTGAATTTAAGAAGTTTATTTCTATTTCCGAGACCTTTTAAATCATGAAACATATGTCAAAACTTGTCAAATGCTTTTTATTATTAACTGAGATAATTATGTGATTATATTTTCTTTTTATCTATTAATGTTGTGAGTTGCACTGACAGATTTTTCTGATGTTGAATTATTTTTGCTTTCCTGGGATAAACTCTACTAATGTACTTAAAAATACAGTTGGACTCAAGTAGTTATTTGTTTTATGTTTTATATCTGGTTCTCCCTCCTAAGCCTCATGTATTCAAAGGCAGGTGATTGGGTCACTGGGGAGGGTGGAGTTAAATATGAGGTTAGGAGGCAGGGCCTGGTCGGGAGAGGCGGTCACAGGGGCATGACCTGGAAGGGTTTCTCTCCCTCCTCAGGTCCCTTTGCCTTCTGCTTACTATCTGCCATGCTGTGAACAGCTCTCTCCTACCAGGCCCCTCTGCCTGCCATCCTTGCCTTGGAGCCAGGTGACCATGGGCTGAAATGTGAGCCAAAATGAAGTTCTCCTTCTTTAAGTTGTATTGGGTATTATGTCTCAGTGACAAGAAAGTTACTAAAACACTTCTATTTTATTTATAATATCTACAAGAAGGTTGATGGCTAAAATGAGCTATATATATGTGTGTGTGTGTGTAGGTATAACAATGCACACAAAATTATATTATGGATATAATTTGCACTGTTCTTTTTTTGTCTTAGAATTGAGATTATGGCCAGGTGTGGTGGCTCACGTTTGTAATCTCAGCACTCAAGAGGCTGAGGCAGGAGGGTTTCAGCAAGTTTGAGGCCAGCCTGGGCTGCATAGTGAGTTCAAGTTCAGCCTGAACTACATAGTGAGACCCTGTGATGAAGAAGAAGAAGAAGAGGAAGAAGAAGAGGAAGAAGAGTAGGAAGGGGAAGGAAGAAGAAGAAGGAGAAGAAGAATTGGGATTACATTGGCCTCCTAGAATGAGTATGTCAGATTTTGTTTATTTAATCTTTACTGAACATCTTGGATAAGCTAGGAAAGAATGGTTTCTTGAATGTTTGGGAGATGTCACATGTGAAATCTTGACCACTATTTAAGTTTCTCTAATGCTTAGTCTCTCTCTCTTTTTTTCTCGTGCCACTTTTGGCATTTGTATATTCTTTTTTGTAGAAATTGATCCTTTCTAATCTAGGTCCCACACATTAAAATAAAGATGTTGATCCTACCAGGAGCTCTGGAGCTAGAAAGTTCCTGACAAGTGGCCCCACTGAGGCAAGAAAACAGCCCTGTGTACTCACGCTGGCCACTCACTGGACTCCGGTGGCCCCGGGGAGGAGCACGGTCTGTGTCACCATAGTAACAAATAGCCTTGAAATGTTTGAGTCTTTCTCTATCCCCAGTGTGTGCTTACGTGAGTAAATAACCATACCCCTTTGGCGAAGGGCTTAGGGAATCATTATGTTTACTCTTACCCTCGTGTATTAGGGACCTTCCTGTTGGGTCTCCTCCTCTCCTTTGGTTGATGGGTTCCAGGACTGATAAGTAGCTCAGGTACAGTAACTAAGTAAGGGATTGTGACTTGTGATCATAGTAGCTACCTCCAGAATCCTGCTCTTCTGTCTTTGATCTATTTTATTTTTTTATTGATTTTATTATTATTTTTTAAACGGGGACTGAACTCGGGACCTTGTGCTTGTAAGGCAGGTGGCGGAACCACTGAGCTAAATCCCCAGCCCTGATCTATTTTAATTTTATAGACTGAGCAATGCTCTTGTTGGATGCCTGCCTAACTTGCCTTGGGAATGCCAGTTCTCATAACCTTTCTTTTTATAGACTGCTTTTTGTGTTCTATCTAAGAGCTCTTTACTAATTCACAGTTAGGATGATTTTCTTCTGTTTTAATTAGGAGTTTTGTAATTTTTTGTTTTATATTTAGGTCTACAATTCAACTTGAGTTGGTTTTTATATATGTGTGAGGTGAGGATCAATACGTCAGACAGAGATGATAATTATAAATATATATAAATCTAACAACTGAGATGCATACCTACAATACCAGAGACAGACTGGAAGGTGTGGTAGTTGTTAGCCTTTCTTCTTAAATGATGAGTGTTTAAAATTATGAATTTTCCTCCGAATGTAGATTTGTCTGCATATTGTATTTTTGGTGGTGAATATTTTCATTTTTGTTTATTTCTAGATGTTTTATTTTAGCTTCATTCAGGATTATGTGGAAAACTTAATTTCTTAGGTTTTACATTGATTTTCCTTATAGATTTTGAATTCTATATTTGGGTATAGAACACAGTCTGTGAATTATCATCTCCTCAAAATTTATAAACATTTTCTTTGTGGACAAAGATGACTACTGAAAAAATAATCTCACAAGTGTAATAAAAGAACATACATTCTATCACTGTCAATTATTTTTATATGCATATTCTATACATATTTATTAAATTGGCTTTATTACTGTACAAATTGTGTGAGTACTTAGAACAGTACCTGTAATATAATAAGCACGTATAGGTGTTATTGAAAGGTATGTCTTTAGCAAGTCCTTATTTTATTTCTAGTTTGAGATTTATGTATTTGGGTCTGTATTATATGATACATAAAGACTTATAGCTGCTACATTTTTTCTATAGATTTTCCCTTTTATCATCATATAACATCTCTTTTACCTAGTTAGTGCCTTTTGTCTTGAATCCCACTTTATGTGATATTAACAATTCCACTCCAGCTTTCTTTTTTGCCTTCTGTGTTTCCATTCCCTTATCTCAACTTTAATTGTATTATTGTACTTCTGTAAATAATATGTAGCTTGATCTTGATCTATGACCAAATTCCATCTTATGGACAACTCCAATTCTAGTACACCTAAGTAGGTCCCCACTGGGCTGAATAGTTTAACAGATAACAGTGACAAATTCTAGCCCAGAAAACAAACAACTCTCAGAGAATGAGTGCATTCCAGTCAACTGAAGGCAGGGTGATGCTTGGAAGATGAGAATGGCCCAGGATGGGTGATTTATTTTCATAACTTTTAAACTAAGAGAAGGCCAAAGCCTTCAGGGAATAGAAAACTCCAATAAAAATCCATTACTCTTTCCGGCGTGAAGTCCCATAGGGTACAGTTTGGAGAAATCATGGCCACTAAAAGTGTATGTGTGTGTGAATCCTGGAAGAAGAGAGCTAAAGGGGAGGTGTCCCTAATTTTGGGGGTGAATTTCAGAATTCCTGGATGGCTCCTAAACGATGCATCTAGAGGACAGATTCTAGCTAGGGAAAAAAAGAATGAACTAAGAAACAGGCTGCTTCTTAGACAGAGTGTGCAATTTAGTCCAAAGAACTTAAATGCTTGCTAGAACAAACAAACAAACAAACAAACATCCCTTTTTTTTTTTGGTACTGGGGATCGAACTTGGGACCTTAAGCTTTCAAGGTAAGCGGCAGAACCACTGAGCTAAATCCCCAGCCCCTCACCTACTTTTTTACACTCTCCTCCCACAACCCCTGGATTTCTTGCAGATAGTTAAAAATTCTTGATTTCACTACTACTAAGTGCTTCCCTCAATGAAGCAGTTCTCAGCATTGGTAGAGAATTGAACTCACGAGGCAGCTCCATGCTGAGATTTTCTCTGAATCCATCTTGGATGCAGCCCTGGAATTTCCCTCCTCTAACAGCTCCCTGCGTGCTTATGAGATGCAGCCAGGCTGGAGGCTGATGCCAGTGTCCACCCTGCTCTCTGTCCCTCTTGGGTAAGGCCAGCTCCCGGGCCTGCTCTGCTGAGGGACAGATGTGTCTGTTGCCCACTGCTGGGGTTAAGGGTGGAGGTGGAGGGAGAGGCTTCCCTCTTTGGGTTGACCCAAATCAGTGCAAGCCTCCCCTGCGGAGAGAACAGCCCAGGGGCATGGAGGACCCCAGAGCCACCTGATTTCCTTCTTCAGCCCATCCTTTTGGGTCCACCTCTCAGGGATGCTTCCCATGTCTGGTCCTCAGACAGTGGCCATGGGATGAGGGGCTGGAGGGGCGGCTGCAATTTCACCAGCATTTCACCACTGATCCTCTGCTGTCTCCATAGGTATCAGCTCTCTGCTGCTGAGTCTTCTGCTCTTCCTGGAGCTCCTGTTATTCCCCTGTCAGGCCTCTCATGTTTGACTTCCAGCCTCTGACCTCTCACTTAGGACTTATATTTCTCTATTATAGTTCATGTTTGGTGTATTTCTCCCTCTGACCTCAAACCACAAGGTGGTGCTTGTCATATTCTTCCTCTCTGGTGTTCATCTGTCACAGCTTCATGTTACAAAGTTCCAGAATTCCTTGTTATGCCCCAAATCCATATCTCTGACAGTTCTCATCAAATGCTTCTTCATGTCTCCTTCTGCTTCTTCTTTTTTGCACTTTTTTGGGTCACAGGCTTGCATGGGTTCTTTTCTCAGTGATAATGGAAATCAAAACTTAGGGAACAGTGTGAATTTGCAGACAAAACTTTAATTACAAAGCAAGAGAAAATGAGAAGGGATGTCAGCTTGGGGAGAAGAAAAGCTGGAGGGGACACAACTATGACAGAGATCAGGATGGCCCCTTAAGAAAGGAATGGAAGAGAAAATGTCATGAGCCAGCATGGGTCATAGTCAAGTTAGGTGGAAATTGAACATGAATTGGTTTTAGAGTAAAGTAAAATGAATACTCTTTGTAGAAAACAAACAGGAGAAAAGAAAGACACAGAAGCTGCTTACTCCAAGGGCAAAGCAGCACCTAAGAAAAGATACATTTTACTCTTATGGGGTCTCAAAGGAATGTCATTAATTATTCATGGCCTTTTACTCATAAGGAGCCAGAGTCTCTGCAAGGTGGAGTTTAGTTACAGCACAGATGTGAGCTTGAACATGGCCCCAAATGTGCTCAGAAATGTGTTATATACCCACTTTGGGTGGAGATTTTGTTATGAAAGGCAGGAAATGAAGGTATGAGGAAGTTTAGGGTCAGCTCTTGGTCAGATCTGCCACCATCTTTGCTTGCATGGGTCGTACTCAGTTTGCCCACAGTCTGATTTTCTTATATCAGACTATAGTGGTTTGCCTGATTAACCAACAGCTGGATTCACTTTCCCTCTCTTCCTTTTTTCTTGGACTGCTACTTCACAGTCCTGCTAATACCTCCTGGCTCACTTTGGCTGAGGGCACCTTAGCCATTTGTTCTTCCTCTTTTAAGTGCCTAGGAAACACTGCACTTATTTAAATATCTTACCATTTCTCAAAATTGCTTTCAGCAAGAAACGATTAAATGTACCAGGAAATGGTTATTAAAGCTTTTAATCACACATTCTTTGTGGGTAAAAATGACATCCAGATATATTATCTGTGTCTTATTCATCAGAGTTGAGTATGTGCAAAGAGTCAATCTGTCTTGTAATAGTGGATGCCACCCTGACTCCATGGAGGACTATGCAGCCTGCTCGGTTGAAGGGACTTTTATAGTGGAGTTTGGAGGTGGGAGATACTATGGTTGTTTGAAGGTCTGACCCCCCCAACACCTCAGAGAGTGACTATCCTGAGAGATAGGGGCTTTAATAAGTTAAAATGAGATCTATAGGGTGTTCCCTCATTCAATATGACTGGAGTTCTTACAAGAAGAGAAAATTAGAGACAGTCACACACAGGGAGGATGCCACACAATTATGAGAATGAGCATCCACAAGCCAAGGAGATGGGTTTACCACAGATTCTTCCTCTCAGGCCTCTAAAGAAACCAACCCAACGAGGCTTTGGCTTTGGGCTTTCAGCCTTTAGAAATGAGAAACAATAGCTTTCTGGTGTCTAGGCCACCCAATTTGTGGTACTTTGTTGTGGCAGCCCTAGACCACTAAGACAGGATGGCAGAAGATTCAGAACTCTTTAAGCAACTCCATTGTTCAAGACAGGTATGATGGCAAGAAAGAGGGTTGTACAGAGTGCATGTGCAATATATATGGATATTCAGATAGACGTATCTATCCAGTTTCGTTTTATTTGAATTTGAAGAATGGGGAATCTTTTTAAATAAGGAAAGCATGAACACCTTCAGGAGTTGTCTTTGGCTAGGAGGTAAGATCGCATCCTCTGTCCTTTAGGGAAGGTCTCTTCTGTAGCAAAGTTATGAGAGCTTCTTTTGAGTTTCTCCTTCGATAAGCTCCTGGAGAGCTGAATATCTTATTTCAAAAGAATTTTGTCAATTTTGGTCTATAACACATAATTTAGCGAACATTACTAACCCACATGCCTCTGCTCTCTGCCATGTATCTGCATTTGCAATTTCAGGTTAAAGACCATTGCCAAAGGTCATCCTGTCTCAGGAAAGTCTGCACAGAACTTTCCTGTGGAACAGCTCCTGCAGAATCGGCACAGGTCTGGACTATTTGGATTGTTTCACAGTAAGCATTGTACTTTTGATGCTTTTGGTGCAAGTGTGAAAAAAATTATAGAGGGGGAAAGTAAATCCAGCTGTTGGTTAATCAGGCAAACCACTGTAGTCTTTGAGATAAGAAAGTCAGATCTTGGGCAAACTGAGCACGACCCATGCAAGCAAAGATGGTGGCAGATCTGACCAAGAGCTGACCCTAAACTTCCTCATACCTTCATATCCTGCCTTTTGTAACAAAATCTCCACCCAAAGCATGGAAAAGGAGGTCGACGTGGCGTGGGGGGAGATGAGAAGAGAAAAAAGCACTGAGTGTATGAAAGCCACCAACCCTTCTTCTCTAGGTAAGTTATGCCCTGATATACTTCTTAGACCTCGTGCCAGGTGCTTTTGAAGGATTACAGTGGGGAAGGGGCTCTGAAGACTGGGCATGGACATGTGTGAGCCCCCATGAAGAAATAGAAGCCCAGAGCCGCTCCAGAGAGGTAAACTGAAAGTCAGCTCCAGGGAGCTGCCCCAGTGGTGAGGGGCAGATGGTTTCTGAATGTTCACCATGGAAATAGTGAGCCTAGCTGCCAGCATAGGTCCATTGTGGCAGGAACCAACTAATCAGTTCTGCTTTCCCTCTTGTTTTAAACTAGTAAACCTAGGAACCCTTTATCCATGTCTTTAACTCTAAATACTTTGTTTCTCATAAGAATGGTCTTGGATGAGATGCAGGAATGAGAAATTATGGGGCTAGAGACTGAAGGAGGATTCTTTTTTTTTTTTTTTTGGTACCGAGGATTGAACTCAGGACCTTGTGCTTACGAGGAAGGCGGTGGAACCACTGAGCTAAATCCCTAGCCCCGAAGGTGGATTCTTAACTGGTGGATGGCTTTTCAAGTGTGTGGATGAAGGAATGGCATCAAGGGAAAGTGAGTGTCATCTAGGGCCACAAGCCTCTGTCCCGGGATGGCTTTGTTATCAGTCACAGATGGAGACTTGGTGGACTTCCTTGTGAGAATGCTGGGTCTCTGCAGGGTGTCATTGTGGTTTGTAGAAAGGCATGAGGCCTTAGCTAATGACCCGTGCAGAGCAGGCTACTGGTGTCACTTGAGTAATAAGAGAGAACAAAAGAACATGTGTGAACTGAATTTACAAATTATGAAAATCTCAGGGGGAATTTTCATTGAATGTTCAAGATTAAAAAGTTTTTCTAAATACTAGAAGCTTTACCAAAAGCAAATATAAGATTTAAAAAGAGAAAATATAAATTTACACAATTAGTTTGTTGTTATTTTCGCCCCAACTGCATATGCTATTCTTATGAGAAAGAGCTGGGTACTTACAGGACAGTAGCCTGAAGAGGGGACAAACTATACAGCATTGGAAAAGCTCAGGACACACTGGTAGAAAAATGGTGTCCACCTCTCCCATCATTGCCTGCAATGGACAGACCCCACAGGAGTGTTAGCTCTGTTTGCGTGAGTGGGTTTGAGAAGGATTTCCCAGATTAGAGCAGGTCCTGAGGTGAGAACCATCATCTCACAGGCTGGGTTAAAAGGATGAGGAACATTTAACTGAAAAGAGGAGAAATTTGGGGAGTAACTGGTCAGAGTACAACATCAGTTTAATGGTGGCCCATTGACCATGCCCAGAGCTTTTGCAGATGTCTAGGAATAAACCTAAGATTCTGCTCAACTTTAAGAACCAAAATCAAGGTGAGGTGTTTTTACAGGTTACCGTATGGAGTCAGGTGTACTCCTGGGGAGTACAGTGCAGTCTGTCTGGGCTGTGGTGTCAGAATAACATACACCCAGGGGTTTATTAGCAACAGATTTTTTTCCCCATGTTTCCGGAGGCTGGGAAGTCCAAGATCAGGGCACAGGGAAATCTGTTGGTGAGGACTTCCTGGTTCACAGATAGACTCTTCCAGCTGTAACCTCACATGGAAGAAGGGAGGAGTTGACTCTCTCAGGCCTTATTTATAGGGCACTAACCCCATTTATGAGGCCTCTACCCTCATGACCTAAGGCTCTGCCTCTTAATACCAAGATACTGATGGTTAGGACTCCAGTTAATTTGGGAGAACCTAAGCACTCAGCCCGTAGCAGAACCTTGCTGAAGAACAAACTGGGACCAAGTAGAACAGATGCAGGATGTGGACTGACTCAAGCAGAAGGAGCCATGAGCACTTCTGCATGCTGTTGAGAGCTTGGTGTGGTTGAAGGTGCTTAGACAAAATTTGGATTGCTGAGATGCTCTTAAAAAGGATCCTTGCTTGAGAGGAAAGTCAGCTGGCAAAGCTTAAAGATTTTTTTCCATCTATTCAACACATGTTTATTGAGCACATGTTATGTGGCGAAGGCTACAGCCAGTACCTGCCCTCTTGAGGCTCACATTTTGTGATGCAATGGTGTTGTCGAAGTCCTGAGATAAAGGATGTCAAAGCAGGAGAAGAAAAAAACCTAAAAATGGAGTTACACAGAGAGAAATATAACTTTAAAATAAATGTATTCCCAGAAAAGAGTTAAACTGAAAGAAAAAAAAAATAGAAAAATCGATTTTATGAATTTAGGAAAAAAAATTGGCAATAGATAAAGAACCATCAAGAATTCTGAAAAATATAAATTTAGCATCGGTGTATTTAATGGAATGAAATGATGATGCTTAGTGAGCCTGCAGACTGAAGGGAATAGCAGATTGGCAAGTTGGTGATCCTAGAAGGCAAATACAGGGGCACATCTTCCATTCTTACTTACTGGCCTTGGAAAATTGTTTCTGCAGACATTCAGGTTTTTTAAGAAAAGACGCTGAATCAGGAAGAGGATTGGTCTTCCTTTTAGCTTTAGTCAGAGGAAATTTAAATTTGAACATTCCCTTGAATAAATGGTTAGTCTAGAAGTTACCGTAAGATAATGTCATTGAATGCATTAGGCTCTGGGTTCAATCCCCAGTAACGCACATGCACGCACATGTACACACACACGCACTCACACACCACAAAAAGAATAATGTGATTAAGGGACATGGGTATGGGTATGTTGGTATACATCTGTAATCATAGCTACTTGGGTGGCTGAGGCAGAAGGATCACAAGTTGGAGGCCAGCCTGGGAAATTTAGCAAAACTTTGTCTCAAAATAAAATTTTAAAAAGGGCTGGGGATGTAGCACAGTGTAATTCAGCCCTCCCTGGGTTCAATCCCCAGGACTGCAATGTATTCAAACTCTACAACTTAAGTCATTGAAGTCTCTAAAGGGTTCTCTTGATGCTATTTTGAATTTAATGTTAAACCCTAAAATCTTTAAAATATATAAATTAAGTCTCATTGCTGTCCTTGTTCTTGTCCCTCCTCCTCTTCTTCCTTCTCCTTCTTCCTTCCCCTCTCCTTCCTTCCTCCTCCCTCTCTTTCTCCTCCCCTTCCCCTCCTCAGTACTGGGAATTGAACCCAGGGCCTTGGTCACTTACTACTGACTCACATCCCCAGCCCTTTAAAAAACTTTATTTCAAGACCAGGTTTCACTAAGTTTCTCAGGTATAACTTGTGACCCTCCTGCCACAGCCTCCCAGGAAGCTGGCATTGTTACAGATGAGGAGCACCACACCTGGCTAGGACTTCTAATTTTATCAGTGATGCAATCCACACACCAAAATGTTATTTTTTTTTTTAAAGAAAAAACTAGAAATACTGCGTAAAATAGAGCCATGACTCTTCTCAATGCAAGGCTGAAAGGACGTAAGGGAAACCCCGGAGGTCAAGACACAGCAGGACCTAAGAGGCAGAGTGTATTATATTAGGCACTTTTCTGTTGCTGAGACAAAATGCCCGACACTCACAATTTAAAAGAGGAGAGGTTTATTTGGCTCCAGTTTCCAATGGGTTCTGTCCATGGTTGGCTGATTCCAGGGAGAAATGGCGGGGTGGAGGACTTGGTGGGGCAAAGCTACTCACCTCATGGCAGCCAAGGAGGGAAGAGCTGGGGAATAGAATACACCTTTTCATAGGACTGATTAGCCCAGAATTCACATGACCTCATTCCTCCTCGAGATTGAAGATATAAAGTAAGATGTTTACAGGGGCATTCAGCTACCCCTAGAAGCCTGGGGCCATTTTCCTAAGCCTGTGATCATCCAGATTCCACCAAAGGCAGAAGCCCACTGATGGAGACTGCCATAGATAGAGACAGTCCTTTCCTGGGGATGGAGCCATCTACCAGCCATAAGTGTTCCAGAGCTACAACACCAGGATGGAGATAATGAACATCCAGACCCCAGCTCACCAGCTAACCCTTGAAAGCTGGCCTCCCTCTGTTGTAGGTGGGCCAATCTGAACCCTTATCAGAGTAAGCCCCTTCCAGCTACCTAAACTGAGTCCTTTCCTGTCTGCCCTCTAACTTTCCAATTAAAGCTTTTCCCTGAAAAAGAAAGAAGAATGAATACACCCTTCCAGGTCACATCCCCAGGGACCTGCTTCTTCCAACCAGGCTCTGGCTCCCAATAGCACATTCAGCTATGAATCCATTCAGCTATGAATCTAGCTATGAATCCACTGATGAATACAACACCCCATAATCCAGTACCATCTCTGAAACTCACGAGACCTTGGGGGGACATTTTCAATAGAAACCCTAATGTGTAGGAAATTCTGCAGCTGTCTTAGGGGATTCAGTCATCTTGGATACTAGGGGGTTTGTATTTTAATATCCATGCTGGGAAAGAAGCAATGTCTTAGATCTCCTCAAGGTAGAAAGCTGGACCTGAAAACTTGGGAATATGGTCAGGACTTCCCAAGTGCTATGTCCTCAGGGAAAGGGAAGATTAGGAAAATACAGTTGGTCCCTGTGTTGGGCTTCAGTGAGTGCAGGCTCCATGTTCAAAGACCAACCAATCTTGGATCAGAAGCATTCAAATATAAAGAGTTTGCTGCTAGGGATTTAGCTCAGTGGTTCTGCTGCCTGCCTCACAAGCACAAGGTCCTGAGTTCAATCCCCGGTACCAAAAAAAAAAAAGAGTTTGCCTGTTTTGAACTTGTACAATACTTTTCTTGTCATTGTTCCCTAAGCAACATGCTATAGCAACTCTTTATGGAGCATTTGCATTGTGTTATAAGGGATCTAGAGATGACTTTCAAGCATGTAGGAGGATGGGTATAGGTTCTATGAAAATACCGCCCTACTTCATGTAAGTGACCAGGGCATCTAGGATTGGGTGTATTTATGGGGGTCCTGAGCCTAGTCGCTCTTGAATGCTGAGGGGTGGCTGGTATCTGCCCACCAGTACAGGTGGCAAGGAAGCATGTCTGCTGTGGCCTGGGCCTCGAATAAGAATGAAGAGTAATTTGTGACTGCTCATCTGCCCTCAGGCACAGGTGTGGTTAGTATTTGCTCTACCTGCAGGATTAGGCAACCACTAGTCCACCCAGCAATTTGACAAGACATTCTCCGGGTGTCTAGGGGCTTACTGCTTTGTGAGGAGACATTCCCCAATAAGATGGCACAGGATGATCATAGACAGAACCCCTCTGAGATGAGCAATCCAAAGTGACAAACACATCATGGAACCAGCTCACGTGAAGGAATGTTGGAAGACGTACACTTGTAGTACAAGATCAGACCCCCAAGAGCTTCAAGTGAAAACAGTGTCACACATGATGAGATATCTATTTTTACCATGATTAAGAACATAAAAGGAAAGAAAAAGCATGCAAAAATGAAAAGATACAATGAAAGAGACCTGAAAGATTTACCAAAGAATCAAATAGAACTTTCATAACTGAACAAAGAAGTCACTGAAACTAAATTTATTTATTTTATTTTTTCCATTAACTTTATTGGTACATTTTAGGTATACAGTACAGTTAGATTCATCATTGGGATCTTGTACCTTTACATGAGTATCTTGAGTCTTATTTTTTCCCCTTCCCCTGCCCTCCC